CCTTATGCTTTGGAATTTTTATATTTTATTCAGGTAATCATATAAATATTATATGTTTCCTATCACAAGTTTTAAATCTTGCCTTTAGTATTTGAGATTTTAATCTATTTGGAACTTACTTCATGATGATGTGAGGTGGGGTCATCAACTTTCATCCTGGCATCATTTCTTAGTCCACCCTTACCCCACAGGTCCACAGTGTAGTTCTGTATTATTCCCACATTGACACAAGTGTGTCAGTCCGCTTCTGCACTGTCCTGTTGTACTGGTTTACTTGTGGCTGAGTTTAAAAGTTGCTGAGAGTATGCCACTTTTTACTTATTTCACTTGGGATTATTCAGGTTTTTAAGTCATTTGCTCTTTAACCCAGCAATCCCACTTACAGAAATCTAGCTACAAAATACAGCAGAGAGCAGTGTGTCTCAGGCACCTGTGCCACAGAATTTTTTCGTAAAAAAGAAAAAAAATAGACTTAGCTTCTTTTTAATGTTTTATTGTGGCTGTTTTGTTTATACTATCCTATAAATTATGTAGAATCCCAAATGGCCACTTCCAATTTATCTCATGTCATCAGGTGTAATCTTATTAAACCAAATTCCTGATGGACAAGGAGGTGGGTATGACTGTCAACTTTTATAATTAGCATTGATCTTAAGTTTTTTATAATTTCCCTGTGAAAACAGGGAAACCTCTGTCTGAAAGTTAAAAAAGCTAGAGTTTTGGGCTGAGGTTGTGGTACAGTGGTAGAGCACAATCTTTTTTTTTTTTTTTCTTTTTTACTTTGTTTTGAGAAGAGAATAACTATTTAGGAAATGGTTGAGAATCTCCTCCCTCCAAAACTGGCGTTATAAGTGGGCAACTTATAGAAGGCACCATGCCAGGACTTGTTCTGGTTAGGTCTGTGCCACATTTCATTACTTCATGGGGTTTATAGAAAAGTTAAGATAAATAAAGAATTTAAAGTTGTCTTTTAGCTTCTAGAGCTATGTATAGATCACTACAGAGGGACAGTTAAAATGCTCAAGGCAGCCTTTGTTTATCAGTGCTACTGTGATGGCAACGTTAAGATCTTTCTATGTGCTAGGTTCTGCACAAAGTATTTAACTAACTTGGTCACACTTAATCCTCACACCAGCTCTATACATTTTAGTTTTATAATTATTTCACTTTTCCCAAACCACAGATATTAAATAACATTCTACAGTCACACAATTAATAGGTGGAAGAGATGGTATTTAAATACAGTAAGTAATTAAAGGAACCATAAAATACTTAATGTAACCTTCCATGTTCACACTTTTAGGAAAGTAACACGCATTATCATCCAACTTGTGATTTGTTTGGCTGAGTAGGTGACTGTGAGAAAGAAGAACAATACTCAAGCTTCACAGAGGTCTTTGAATTACCTCACAAACCTACAGGTGACTCAGCTCTTGTTATACCTCTAACTGTTAATGGAATACAACAGTTACAAAATTATGCGTCAACCTTTCCTCAGACATTGGACTCCCACTTTCACTCAAGGACACTCTATGCTACTTTAATGGCCATAACTTTAACACGAGGTCTATGAAACAAGAAAAGAAAATCATTATTATTCAGTTTTTCCCTTTTTGAACACTCTCTCATCTTAAGATACCTATATTGTTCCATAGGTTCTATTTATTTGTCTCCTATCAAATCCTCCTCTTCCTCATGCTTAATCCTAGCCACTTCACAAATTATATACCTGTTGTATACATGGTTAAAGTCTAGTACTTTCTTTCTACCTAGAAGTCACCCTTTCCCTCACAAATCAGAGTGCTACCTGAAGAATGTCAGGAAACAGGTGTTTAGTGTTCAAAATAACTTTTTAAATGATATCCTACTTACTCTTCACCTCTCAAAGTGGGGTAATATTAATCTGCCTCCATATGTGATTTCCACTCTTAGTAGTAGTCTTTCTTTTAATCTCTATTGAATCTGCATAATCTTTCTCTAACAAAACAGTCTATATAATATTTGAAGCTGATATGTGTATCATAAGGCTCCTGAAATATCTAAAAGTGCAGGAAAAACATGTTATAGTTTAGCAATTTTTCTATAAAACTGTATCAAACTAAACTTACAACCCTTTTATCTACCAAGATTTCTCAAGACTTACTCTCTGCTTCTATTATAAGAAGCAGCTGGGCAGCCATACATGTTGAGTCATTTTAGGGCCCTTGGATACAAGACAGAGAACTCTCACATACAACAGTAGTACTCAAGCATTAAGCAAGAACAAACTGGAAACACGGCAAAAGGGCAAAATGATCCTTTCTCATATACTTGTACATATGGGAACTAAATTTGACTAGCATGTTGGTGTAAACTAGAAGAGATCTGGGGTCTAGAATACCTCCATATGAAAAAAAACTTGTTATGTTTATTTCATGTAATTACAATAAGAAAAAAGTATTAGGATATAGTAAGCAATGCACTGTATGCATTATCTTTATCAAAATTTCAATGACATATTTATGTTGGCTTAATTTATACAGAGAAACATACAAAATGGTGTTCAAGTATAATTTTAACTGTGATAAAGTTTTGCATGGTTTGAAAAACAATTTTGTTCTTCGAAATGCACAACGAGTCAACATTGAGAGTCATGTAACCATTCAGTCTCAGTCAGGAAGCTCTGTTCTAGAAGAGCACAAGTCCCTGTGAAGAAATGGGTGCTTATGGGCTCTTCCTTTCCTCCTCTTTCCTGTCTGCCTCCTCGACTCCTCTTGCCTTTCCCGCTCTTTCACTATTTCATCTGATACAATTTTTCATTGACCTGTAATTGCTTTGCTTCATGAGCGGCCTCAAGGCCCCCAAACATGCTAAGCTGCTCATTTAACACTCCAGTGCTCAGAAAGCCTATCAGAACTGGATGGTCACAAGAGGTCGGGAGGACGATGTGGCACCTAAAGGGCACAACCAGGGGGCTGGCTGCAAGCCTTGTACTATGCCCTAGCTAAAAGGTGGCAGGGGGATCTTTAAAGGCTGAATGGCCCGTGCTTACCCGCCTTTCTAAACTTTAGTACTTTAGCGTTCCCTAGCAACAGAAGCAAAGGATCAATTTAGAAAAGTGCTTTCCAGAGCATTCTATGTAGCTACTGACCAAGCCATTTTAGTTTATGTGATCAAGCAATTGGAATTCAAGGAGATTTATCACTGCCTGTCCTCGGCAGCAGAACTGGAAGAGCAGTGCTTGATAATGTATGCTGCTAATGTCTGAGATGACTGAGTCTACCTCTACCGCACAAGCACGGATTGGCTTCAGTAAGAATTAGTAGTCTCTGCATCTCACTGTGAACCGACAGTGTTGCTAGGGAAACTGATAATTATGTGGCAAAATGGAGGGTGTAGAAAAGAAAAAAGGTTCAGAAGAAATGTAAGGTTTTGATCCAAATCAGCATGTTAATAGTATAGTTTGTTGATCTTTTATAGTCATATAATTTAATAAATACCATTAATTATATGTTTGACAAGATACAGATTTCTAAACTGAAAGAAGTGAATAGTAATGAAAAGCTACTGGTTATTGATCATATTTTTTGTATATACCACAGCAGGAACATGTATTTATAATAAAATAAAATTAATTTTAAGCATTCAAAAAGATGAATAAAAACCCCATTGGTATCAATAGATATCAATCATATGGTGTTTCAGGTATAAAAATCATAATTCCATAAACTCTAGTAAAATTACTTTTTTGGGCTCAGAGACTAAGTCAGGTGGCCTCAAAATACCCTAGAATAAAGTGGTACAGAAAGAATTGTCAGTATTTTTGCATGATACATAGTAAAATAAACCCAGAGAAGTCAAGTGATCTTCCTGCAGTCACACAGCTTCCAGGTTGGTGGTAATGCTGGAGCTAAATCCCCCTCTTTCAGCTGCCTGGGAGATGTCATTTATTAATTGTATCTGATTTAGAGAAAACCCATCAGAAAGACATAAACCTAATGAATGAATACATCGCTTCAGATATCACTTTAATTTTGAATGAAAATTTTCAACCCTTTTCATTTTTAATGTGTAAGGTTAGTTTTAAGTTAATGACAGGATATAAACACTTATTTACAAGAAAAATCTCACTGGAGACATTCTAATATGTGAGAATGATCATCAAAAACTCAACAGCTCATTATTAGCATGGTTTTACTACACGTTAAATTGCTGTCTATGAGTTGTTGGTCCAATCATAAAAATCTGCTGCACAATATTCTTCTATTTTTATTCTCTAAGGACTTCTTTCTGTGTGTGTGTGTGTGTGTGTGTGTGTGTGTGTATGTTTAAAGAAGATGAAATCAAATGTTTTCTGTTCTCCTGTTTATACAAATCTCACACATTTTCTAATTTATGAATGCATTATAGATATGAAACCTTCATTTGTATTCATATACTCACAATCTATATGTGATGTGTGGGGGTCAGAACATAAGTGATTTATTCATGGACCTATCCAATCCAGTGTTTTGGTCTTATTTGGTCTTTGACAGGAAAGATGAGAGGCACACATGGGACACTAAGGTAAAAGCACAAAACTGAACAGAACATCTTACTCATCTTAACTAAATGAATTCCAAGAATCAGAAGCAGATAGTTGGCCTTCTGATATTATGAAAATGATCTTTATTCTAAGGACTGAAAAATTCTAAGTCTTATTCATTAGTACAAAGTAGTGTGGTTTATTCTTGATGAGATGGACTATCATTTTTAAGGCAGATTATTAAGTTAGTCAACATTATGGTTTAAAAATAATACTCAGTTCATCTTTAGTTGGGATTTTGTTAATTGTTTATATTAAGGCATTTATTTTTTATAAGATTAGAGGTAAAATGATGGAGTCCTACTCTAACAAGACTTTTCTGCTTTCTAAAAGTAGCAAGGCATTTACAACTCTGGATTCTCTGAATAAGAAAAAGAAGAATGTGAGTCCAAATTGTGTAGTTTAAAAGTGATTTTCAAGGCTAGGCTACACGAACCTTGACTTAAGCCATCCTGACAAGATGTTTGTTTGATATCCAAGTTCTCCATGGTGTCCCCTTTGGAGACTTCACTAAGAGATGTTCTTCTTTCAAAGATGTTGTTGTTATTGTTAACTTGAGTCCCATTTTGTTTCAGTAGTCTGAACACTTCAGCTTCCAAATCTCTAATCTAGAAAAACAAAAATATCCATCTGTAAAACTCTAAACCAGCACTCCTCTCCAAGTGCCAGGTAAAACTATCACATGTTTCGAAGCTTTGAGAATACAACTCACCCGCACTTGTAGGCCTTGAACTTCCACAAGATGAGCTTTTTCTAAATCTTCTATTTTCTTTCTTTCTACTTCTTGTCTTTTGATGAAATCAAGCTCTCTTAAGAAGAAAATAATACATATGATTGTATCAGACACTTAATAGGTGAGGTAATGTGAGTTCTTACCGAACAATAAATCTCACAATGGGATAAACAAAGAGCTATTTAAATAAACAAAAATCAACTGTAGTTAGAGGAAATGTTTATAGTAATTTAAAAAAATAAAACATCATTAATGTGTCACAAAATAAAGAATAGCATTTTGATTCTGTTTATTATGATTTTCATCCGTAGCTCCTGATTCTAGAGTACTTATATATTGGGTAACTTTGTGGAGAATTTAATTGTCTGTCAGGTAGAAATGACTCCCTATTTTTAATGTCATGTACATGAGTAAACTGATGCGAATGGACGGTAAGAGTTTCAAAGGTGATTATTTTAAGATTTCTTTCTGTGAATTATCATGGAGAAGGGAATGGGTGTGTGAGAATACTTCTCACACACCTAATATAATATGGTAAGAAAGAGAAATATTTCTATTTTGAGAGGCTAGAATGGGATATGCAAATTTGGCAAACTTTATTATAAAATCATTTCAAAGAAAATTAGGTATGATATTTTTGGCAAAAAGGTTAAAACAGTGATGTCTTGAATTCACATTAACAAAGAGCAATTACCCTTCTTTTGCCACAAGTTTTTATAGCAATCTCTTTTCAATATTCAAAATCTTATTTCCATGATAAGAGGTAGAGACATGCTGAATTTTACACATATACTTACTTAACTTCTAAGGCTTGACATGAAGATCAGAAAAGGTACTGATACTACTTCTTTTTAGTTTTAGCTAATAGGAAGTAACTGATGAAAAAAATATAATAAAAAGTTTCCTAGTCTTTCCTTCGGATATTACAACAAAATTCAAGAGATGGAAGCAAAGCAGCAGAAAGAGCTGCTGGAATTCAAAAGTGGAGTGTAGTGATGGTCTCTCTCACTGTAGTGAACTGGGGGCCCAGTGATTCTTTCAACAGCTGAGAAATGCAGAGTGGCAGGGTGTGTGTGGGGGGGTCAGTTCAGTCAATATTTACGCTGCCTGTCATGGGGAAATTCTACAGTCATTGATTCAGACAGAAGCAGCATGATCCAAGCCCCAAATGCTCCTTAGCAAGTACATCGCCAGTCACTCTGCAAGACTTTAGCCGGGTTTCTTGTTTTTAAATCAGAGATATAGAGATGTTTCCAAAAGAAAAAAGAAGTTCAAATGCTTCAATAGTTACTATCAATGATTAACCATAAAAAAAAAAGAAAAAAGAAAAAGGAAAACCAGGAGGCAAATGATTGTGAAGAAATAGCAAAATATGCAAAATACATTCTAACATGAAAAACTGATGCAAGTGGTTTCCAGAATATAATAACTTCTTTGGTGGTCACCATACTACCAAAAGGGAAAAGCTTGAGGTCATCTTTTCTATTCCAAAAGAGTTGGATATAAGCCTCTGTTTTGGACACAGATAACGACTCTTTAGTCATGAAAAGCTGCTTACTTTTGTTGAAAATCCTTGATCAATTTCTTTGCCTTGTTGTACTTCTTTTCCAAGGCCTGATACTGGCTTTGGGTCTCTTTAAGATGTTCATTCACTGTGTGGCATAATGTCTGAGCCTCAATCCAATAGCTCTCTAACTTCAGCATTCTTTCTTTATTTTCTTCTATGTTCTGTTGGAGTTGGGTTTTTTCTAGTTCCCACCTCACTTTCTCATTTTCTGCTGCCTGCAACTGGAGAAAGCAAATATCAAGGCAAGAATAATTTGGATATGTCTGCAGCAAAAGTCTCTCATATTTTTACAGCATGTTTTAGATTAAATTCCATTATTACATATACTCAATCATCAAAACACCTTGAGATGAGAAAAGCAAGTATTATTTCCATAATTCCACAAAGGATAAAATGGAAGCCTCAAAAGAGAAATTATTTGTCCAAAGTGATACATCTGATAAAAAACACGGATTTGATTCCAAATCCCATGAATTTTCCTTCATATCCTGTGGTCTGAAATTCTATAAGCAGGAAATGATATTTTAGAGTTTGAATGATTATCTAACAAATGTCAAAGTGTTTTCTTTGGGGGTATTTTTTTAAATATAAAATGATATGCAAAAATTAACTAAAAAGGGAATGAGGCAAGGCAGGGAGAGAACAGCAAAATCACAGGATGGCCCGATGGTTAAGAGGGGGACTCTGGGATTATTCACCTTAGATCTGAATCTCATTTTTGCCATTATTGGCTCTTAAACTTTTGGTAAGTAATTAGATTTTCCCAAGAGTCGATGTTATCGTCTCTATGACAGAATGGTGATATAACACATTGGCATGCTTGGAATAGTTCCTTGGGGACAATAATCATCTGATAAATGTTAGATATTATTACTTTTCTTTTAACCCCTTTGATTATATTATTACGTTCTTTATTTCAATGGCATGAACACAGTCTGTAGCTTATTATATTACAGTCAGTGATATGAATTTCCAGATCTTTGTAAATCTCAATTCACATAAACGTACAAAGGTGGGTAAGTGAAAATGTAAATGCTGGTTTGATTAATTTTAATCCCTCCAGTGGAACAGAAAGGCAGCTTTCTGTAGCCTCTGCTTCTAGGTACTCTTAGGAATTGACAATGTATCTCTCTAACACCTTCATTTCTACAGAAATTTAAGACTGATCACTTAGGTAAGGGCTTAAAAGTCACTTATTCACAATCACTGCAAAGCTTTCTGTCTAGTGCTTTATCTACTTCCTATACCTTTTTTAAAGTTCAGAAAAATCCTGGAATCATTATAAATTCTCAAAATCAAGATATTCTAAAATCACCTACCATTCAGCAAATGGAAATATATATGTTCACATATGTGTGTGCATGTATGTGTGCATGTGTTTGTATGTTTTGTGTAATTTTTTTTTTCTGGTACCAGTGATTGAATCCAAGGGTGCTTAACCACTGAGCCACATTCCTAGCCCTTTCCATTTTTATTTTGAGACAGGTCTCATTCAGTTGCTTAGAGCCTCACTAAGTTGCTGAGGCTGATCTCAAACCTGTGATTCTCCTGCTTCAGTCTCTGAGTCACTGGGATTATAGGCATGTGCCACCACAATTGGCTACAAATTTTTAACTAAACATACTTATAAAACAAATTACAAAGTTAAAAAGTAGCCCAAAACACTTCAAAATTAGGAATTATATTATTAACATGAATAACCATGATAGTAAATTAATCTGTGAATATAATAAGCCAATGTAATAAGAAAAATATAAATACTAATTTATAGTATTTTCTAAGTTAAATGTTTATAGTCTAACACATAAGCTCCACTGAAGCATTTATAATCACAGGGGAATCTTTTTCCCTAATTGTAACCAGTTTTTAAAAATCCACTTTTTTTTCCTATGTCAAGAAACAATTGCAATTTAAAACAGGACTAGTTTTTTTTTTCTTTTTTTTTTTTTACAATATCTTTTATTAAGAAACATTTTGTATCAAGTTGTTTATTTATCAACCACTACTAATGTAAAAATTACTATTCACAGTGCTGGGCTGACACCATGAATGATGTATAGACGTGTTTTGACTAAAGAGCTCCAGAGCGAGAATACCATTTAACCAAAATAGCCTTGCTAATTCATCTCCATTTAAAACACATGGAAAAACCAAAACAAGTGTTCAGTGTGAATGAGAAAACGGATCATTAGTAGTGGGGGAGTAATTATGTCTTAATTTTTAAAAGATCATAGAACAATAAGAAATATTGTTTTAAAGTAATTCAAAAGGTATTTTAAATATGAAATTACATATTTAAGACTAATCACAATGGCTAGAATCGTAGCTCATACAAACAAGTACCTTACAATTTACCAAGTAAAAATGCCCTTTTGAATCCTTCATTATTTCATGTATAGAGACTAAAAATACCTATTTCCTTTTATTAAGACTTTTCCTCCCTTACAAATTTTTAAAAATGTGAATTAAACTTGCCTAAAAATTTCCAGTAGCACCTAGCACCTAAAATCAATTACTTGTATTAAGTTGATAATATCTCATTCTTAAAAATTGTTTTTATCAAAAATAATGTGCTGTATTAAAACAATACATTGTTTCTGGTGAATAAACTAAAAATAAATAAATGATAAAATCTATAATAAGGTAAATGAAAAAATTAGTGGGTAAAATTTATTAAACATATTTCAGACACTTGAACCATTAAAATTATTACTTTTTGAGGAACTCTCTGAGGAAATTGACTACATGTGTGTAAACACATAAATATATACATTTAAAATACCATGCTATTTTCCCTGAGGAGTACATGAATGCTTGTTCTCACCAGCGTGTTTGTCTATGATCTAATGGTGGAAATGAATATCTCACATTTGTATTCTTTCAAATGCACAGGAACAAACCCTTTAGTTCTAGGGTTGAATTTATTTATAGTATGTGAAGTTTAAAGAGTACAATTCAAACACCATGTACTGGTGCTTACCTTGGTCTTCAATTTTTGAATCTCTGCTTCTGTAACTGCATGTTTGATTTGCAACTGAAAATTGAAAAGAAAATATCTGAACTAAGAGAGTGTATCTGTATTTTTAAAGTCTCACCAGCTACAAGAATACCTTATCACATAGTAAAAAGCCTAGAAAAGTGCTGCAATGCAGAAGATTGTAAATTAAAATGTCTAGTGTGTAAAATGACTCACTAGGTGCAAACTAATTAAACATGGGGTTTATGGTTCACATTCCCTAACATCAGATTAGGTTACCCGTTTATTGCTTAGGGACCAAAGAGAAGAAAACACATCTTTTTTTTTTTTTCTCTCTCTTTGCAGATCTTCCTTTATGATTTGACTGTCAAAGCAATGTTTCCTTGCTTAGTCGGGCCAACGGAAAGGCTTAAGCCTGTGAGTCTACGGAGATGGAGCAATGTGAAGATTTAATTCCATATTTGGAAGAAAGATGGCACTATGGTTCTGTGAGTCCCTCGAACATTCTGATGAAGCAGATCAGCTGCAAAGGGAAAAAGACGAGGATGCAGCTTCATAGAGAAACCCAGGGTTTTTTTCCTTTTTTTTTTTTTTTATTTCAGAAGTGGTACTTATTCAGATTTCTGTTCTCCAGAAGACCCCCTCATATTGAAGATTCAGACCTCAAAAAGCTTCTACTACAGCTCGCTAGCATAAGAGTCACCATTTATGTCTGTTTTGCTTCTCCCCTCCCCCACTCTTTTCTTTGTAAAGGAGGAAGAATCAATGAATCATTCATTTCTTTAACGCATAAACGAACACCCCCAAATTCAATGAAAACGACTTATGGGTTCAGAATTTCTTCTCTGAAATTCATGGAGCTCGATGTTTTAGGAATTCAGCAATTTTTTAATTTCAGAAAGGTAATGTGATGCATCTTCCATAAACTCCATATTGCCCAACACAGGATCTGCAACCAAACACATGAATATTTCTGCCACCAAGAATATGAATACTCCGACTCAATGAAGTATATAAAGATCATAAATAGTATCCTGTCAGGTTTGTACCACCAAATTAGTTTGCCACAAACTTATAAGAAAACCTGTTTTCAGAGAAGTAACATAGCTTCTTCAAGTTTCCACTACAAGTAGGAGGAGAAGAGGAAACAGTCCTAGGTCTGACTCTCCCTATCTCTGCTTCTTACCTTCACCATGTGTCTAATGGAATCAATTGCTTTGGGATTTCTCTCTCATTTAGTCTTTACAAAAACCCTGAGGCATATGTCATCACTGTCACACTCAGATGAGAAATTATTAATCTGACTGGAAACCATAGGGTTATTTTGAGTAATCTCTGAGTATTCTGACAGAATGTAAAATGGTGCTCAATTAGTTGCTGTTGTTATGAGCAGAACTTAGATCATCTTTCTGATTCAGCCAGCACTTAGTGAATAAGCGTATGTGTTGGTCTGAGGATACATGAACATGGTATAAAATCCCCTTTGAAATATATATTTAGGGAGATTAATAAATTATCCTTCCTAAAGGAAGTTCTAGGGATGATGCTGACAGAAAGGGCACTAGGAATCTGCCTCTGGAAGGCTTGATTAATCTTTTTTCCCATATAACCAGGTCAGATGGTCTCTTGCTCTGGTGTCTTTGTCATGTCTCAAATCCAACAGTGGGCCTCACCACCTTCAAGGCAAAGTGGGAAAATGGGCCTGAAGTTCCCCCATTTCCTGAGGAAGAGAAAACTGCTTCCCAAAGGGTAAAGAAAATTTGACAAGAGAAGCATAATTGGTCAAAGGTGGCATTTTCTTATTCTAAAGCAGTTCTCTTTTCCATTGCTTAAGAGATTTATTTCAGGGACCAATAAGTTTCCCAAAGGGCCAAGTATCTATGAGAAAGTCAAGCTGACTGTCAGAGGGGAAAAAAGAATGGAATCAGAACCTGAAATGCCTGTTGGAACTTCTGGACTTCAGAGAGCTAGGTTTGGAGAAAAGACTTGGGATTGGAGAACATAAATAAAAACAAGATTGCAGGTCAGTGTCGTTGAACTTACAAAACCAATCTTTTTCATCTCTCTTGTCATCTCTAATATGAATGCCACAGATACCCACAGATACCCACCCAAGGATATCAACCCAAATAAATATACAATTCTTACAAAGAACAGGAGCTCCCATTTAACAGTCTGTATGTATACTTTCTATTTATTGCCTTCTATGTAAAAGATAAATATGGAGCATGTATGCATATGACTGACTCAATGTAATCCAAATATAACTACTATAAATAGAAACACTCTTATACAGAAACATAAATAATCAGATTGAAGTTTTGTATTCTCTTGACTTATTCTGCATAAGGGTCAAAAACATTTTTAAGTAAAAAAATATTATTTTAGTAGGAAAACTTTATTTAGTAGGAAAAATTTAGTTCTAGTACCAGAAGCTTTATAATGAGATAAGAGTAACATTCTCTGCTCTGACATTACAAGAGCAACAATAACTGGTATTTGAATGTAACTTTATAAGATAGTTCAGCACTGGAATCAGAATTTTTACAATTATTTTTCTGAGTATTGGAGTGATATTTATTTACCCACAATAGTGTAAGCACCACAAAAGAAGGAACTGAAACTTATTTTGCTRACATTTTGGTGTTGGTAAAATGAAACTTTTTTTTTTCATTTCAACTCAAAGATTTATATATGGTGTCTTTCTTTTCTTAAAGAATGGTGTATACAAAATGAGCTGAAATATGCTTACTGAGCATAGCACAACCTGACCTGAATGACAATACCAACTGCAAGATACATAGCACAGGATGAGATTCTCTAACAAGGAAGTCCTCTAAGTCAGAACTCAGAAACTGGTATTAATGATGAAGATGCTGGATGTAATTGAGAGCCTATAATTATAGTTCCTTTAAAAATAAATTTATGTTTACTACTAAGTAGATAACAATGTATAGCTTCTCTGTTTGTTAACAGAAAGTTCCACAAGGATAACTTTATTTATTCTCCAATGCATTTATGACTTTTCTGGATTTTTTTTTGTAGACTTAGATAAAACAATATAACTTTTAAACTTTGTTTTTCTCTCAAGAGGAATTGCTTTTACTAGTGCTAACAGCCTGACTCCAGAGTAGTAGTGGTGAGTGCCAAACAATGGACACTCAGTCTGGAGGCACCTGTCAAGCAGTTCCTCATGTAAACTCACTCTACACCCCACTAAATTACTAATGATACAACATTGAGGAAAAACAACCCCCCAAAGTCACTAAAACTAAAACTAACCGCTAGAAGAATATGAAATAGGCATGAAATTGAATTCAGATCACAAGGTCGAAGCTAGCCTCTGCGACTTAGTGGGACCCTGTATCAAAATAAAAAATAAGGCTGGGCATGGTGGTGCATGCCTGTAATCCCAGTGGCTTGGGAGGCTGAGACAGGAGGATGGCGAGTTCAAAGCCAACCTCAGCAACTACGAGGCACTAAGCAACTCAGTGAGACCCTGTCTCTAATAAAATACAAAATAGGGATGGGGATGTGGCTCCCTGGTGGAGTGCCCATGAGTTCAATCCCCAGTATCAAAAAATAAAAAATAAGAAGGTCCAGGGAGGTAGCTCAGTGGTTGAGCACGGTGGGTTCAATCCCTAGTATCATAAAATATTAAGAAAAATCTATACAGACCTCACCTAATGCTCAAAACTGGGCTCTAAAAACTCACCAGATAACAAATCAAAACACAAAAGAACTATCACCTAAGCTTCACTCTGATGAGAGTTGGACACTTTGTACCATCCTCACTGATTGCTTGAGATCTAGTCTGTCCAGATATGCGACAAGACATTTCTGTCTTGCCAGAAATGGGACCTCAAATCAGGTCTGTCACTTCTCAGTATTCCGAATTTGTCAAACAGCAATTATTGGAATTAGGAAAGAATGCAGGAAGGCAGCCAAGGCCCTCGTCACAAAGTACACTGCATCCTTTCAGCCACAGACCCCCCAAACAGTGAAACAGACATCCGTGACCTACAGAGTCTGCTAACAGGCCCAAGATTGTCTGTTTTTCCCTTATTTATTGTGGAATGAGACAATGAGTTTTGTATTTGGTGTTAATAGTTATTTATTTTTTTCATTATGAATATCATATCTAAACCTACTTCAAGGTAAAGAAATAAAGTAAAAATGATGTTCTCCATGAATAAAAAGATATCTTAAAAGTAGTTCCTGAGAATACTAGGATGAAAGAAAGTAAAGAAGCATGAATAAAGAATGAAGAGAAAGAAAATTAAATATTTAATAAAAGAACTAAGTCATGTTATAAGTGCTCAAAAAAAGAAATTTGAAGTTAAAAGCATGTTTAATGACACAGAAAATGAAATCATATTGATATGATAGGACAAATTTGAGAAATAATCCCAGACATGAAAAATGTACACAAAGAAATAGAGCCATAAAATAAAGGCATAAAATAAATATTGAATGACAGTGTTTCTAAAAAAAAAAAGAAACAGAATAGAAAGAAACAGCAAACTGATGAAACTGTTAATGAACTAAAATGAAAACAAAACCACAAAACAAACACAAAACAAAAAGACTATTCGAAGGAAGATCAATGAAAAAAGGTCTACTTTAAGAATCTGTGATAAAATATATATACAAAACCCAAGCCTGAATAAAACAAAAGCACCTAAATGCCAGCCTGACATTAGACTTTTCCTTTAAGATATGCTTAAAAAAATGATGCTTGCCCTATTATTTTCAGGAAAAAGCTTCTCAATCAAAATATTAAATCCAATGAAATATCATTTCTGTGTCATGATAATTAGAATGCCATTCTCGGTAGGGGAAGCTCTTGGAAGCCATATCTTCCACAATAGCTAATGAATTACTTAAGGATATACTCTGAGAAATTAGAAACAATTCAGAATTTAGGAACTCGAAAGTAGTACTGTCAAGGTATAACAGTGAAAATTGATTAATCTGAGAGTATAACTATTAGTTATGAATGTATTATAAAGCTATCTAAAACAAGTTTTAAAAAGGGTAACAATTAAATATAATAA